GAATGCTTAGATCAAAAGGAATGACAAAATCGTGGCCAGTGACTTCAAATACAGCAAATGAGACTGATCATGTGTAAACGTCAACCAAAGGTCATTCGAGGTGACATGAGGTCAACATAAGACTTGACCTTTTCAAACAACCTATATATATGTCATTCGACGCGTCTTGACATGACGAATGCGTTGGTACCACTGCTTTAGGTCTAGGACCTTTTTTGGTGAAGAAATCTGCAAAAAAGCCGCAGCTCGGGGTCGCTAACCTAACCTTTGACCTAATGTCGCTAACCCTTTGACCTAATGTAGGTTGATATCAAAAATGTGTTTGTATTTTTTTCCGAACCCACTAGGCATTCGGGGCTATCGCAACTATTCGTCCGAGGTGTGTGTGTGGGGGGGGGGGGGGGAGGGGAGGACGAAAACACCCTCCCTGGGTCCGCGTGGGTTAACACATCTGACGAGTATTACGGCTGACAGAATGTGTCCGTACAAGTTGGGAATGGGGACCCGTGGCGACGCCCCTGGGCATAAGTAGGCATTACTTGAATAGGTACCTAAATGTCCAATAGGAGTAGCTTACAAGCAGTTCATGCAACGTTTCTCTTTAATATCGCAACGGGGTTATATCGTCTACGGGTCGATGAATTCATATTAAACAGCGCGTCACATAAAGCCTCTTTGAGAACCGAGAAGTCAGCAGGAGCCACAGCCATCTGTACTATTTCTGGCCGTTTTTTTTCTGAGATGATAAGTTCAACCTACATTCATTCTGGTTAGGTATGTCAGTGACGTTGTTTGAGGCTGATTACCGTGACGTATCAACTTTCAAACTTTCATTCAACCTTTACGAACAATCAATCGTGATCGTCGTGCCATTCAGACTAGTGACGGGCCCGGACGGGTGGGGTGTGTCCTTCTTTCGATGCCATGAGGGCGAATGTAAAAATCGGGTCCATATCCGGCAGTAATTGATAATGCGTCTGCTTGCGTACCACTCACGTGACGCGTGTCAATCCGTCTAAATCACAAACCTGTCTGCCAGAAAACCGAAACCACACTTAAAGAATGTTCGGGATGGCGGGCGGGGAAGGGGGTGAGCGTTCATTGGCCGCGTTAATCGCTCAAAGGCAGGTGTCCGGCGTGGAAACGTACCGATGTTGTACCTTTCCACACCCACACCTGCTTTTGCGCCGTCCGGCCCGTGGCGGGTGCCCGTTCACCCAGCGGCCGCCAGTTTGGCTCTGGAGCGTGAATCAGACCGCGATCCGTGGCCTCGGTACCGCCGCACTCTGCACTCGGCCCTTGGCAAACCGGGTCACGTCAGCGTACCAATGTGACGTCATCGCCGGCTCAGCTGACTGCGCCGACAGCTGACGGTGAGCGAGACAGACGGCGGCGACGCGCGGGAGGGGGGGGGGGGCGGGGGTTAGGTTCGGGGGGGGGGGGGGGTGAGTCACAGTGGTATGCTATCTATCGCCCGGGGCTTGGCCCGGGGCATGACTCCCACGTCGGAGTCGGGGAGGCTCGGGTATCCCCTCTGCACCGATACTAAAGTGGTTTGATGACTCACCATTCATGTCTGTTTGCTGTGATTTGGTTGTACAACATGTCAGCCGTCAGGCACTACCTTTTACTAGACGCGTGAGTACTGAGTAGTATAGTAGGTACAGTGTACACACAACTCACGAGGGCTGTGACACTTGCAAGAAAGGCTGAAAGTCATTCCATTCGGTTTAACAGTTTGCGAGGTTGAGATAAGCCACAATGTGAGATGTGTACAAAAACAGCTATAGCCCATTTATCACGATATGATAATTCCCCTTGGTGCTACGGGCGGGCTTTTTTCACAATTCAAGGTCCAAACCTTCGGGCCGCAGTGCTCCTCGAAATCATGCCCCTTGGTGCTACTGTGCTGACAATTGCACTAAAAAAGCGACTAGCCCTCTGATGTCTTTTCACCTAGCGGAGCAACCGAACGACAAATTATTCATCGAAGGTGTGTCCGTACGGCCCTGTCATATCCTGTTGACGCGGTCAGTAGCCCGATAATGTGACTCACGGCAGCGTCCCACTGACAGGATGAATTCATGCAGCGTGTCCCGACCTGATGCTGTCACCAACACGGCAAAAACGACCCCTCTGTTGTGAATGTCACGTGACCTTCGCGCCGGGTGTGTCGACAGTCACCGGTAGAAAGGACACGTGACTGCCCACGCCAGGTGCGATGGAGATGTCACGTGACCAGTTCTCCTTGGCGTGTCTTAGCGTGCTGCAGAGCACCACGTGACATGAGGTGTGGCCGCAGGGGGTTCCAGGGAGTGGCGTCTTGACTTGTCGGGCCCCCGAGTCCAGAGTCCGGTTGTGAACAATGTCACGTGATTACTATTTCCGGTGCGGGAGCAGAACTTGTTCATAATTCCGGGTCATTCTGTTACTAGGACCAAGGCGTTACGGCAGAATTAGCTGCAAAGAAATGAGCACAAACGACCTAATCTACTGATATTGAGAAACAGGTTATAGGTAGTCATTTAGTACCTGTGTATTTAGCTAACTGGTAGATACTGGGGCATCTGAAACTTACCTTCTTGAAAGATACTAACGTCTGATAGGCTTCCCAGCAGCATCGCACGAATAATTGACAAGCAGCCCGTCTAAGCATTAAACAGTCTTTCCGGACGGAATTATGATACTGGGCTGGAACTGGAAGACATCTGTACGAAAATTCCATCACTGTTTCGTATGTGCGACGCCGCGCGGGAAAGACCATCCTAACATGGTCTGGTGCCGCCGGCTTGCATAACATGAATCTGATGAGCCGAGGAATTCGGCGGTCCATCCCATCCCGGGCCCGCTGGCTGCCAAGCTGCCTCCGCCCTGCGCTGCCAAATAAAGGCAAACACTGGCGCTGCACATAGCGGACGTGGGTGGCGAGCGAGCGTCCTTCGGCATGGACGGAATCTGGGGATTTTTTAGTAGAGGAGTACCCCATCTGTTTGTGGTCGGATAAAGATTATAGACATTTTATGTCATTACTTGCGTTAGCCGTTGTGCCAAATGAGGGTCCTGGGTCGGACAACCGGCAGGGGTGCTTTTACCTTACACCGTATCGCCGAAACCCGCTAGCGTTTTTGGGCGTGATGCAACAACACGACGCTGAAGAGACCAAAACGTTCCGCATCCCTGATGTAACGGACGCTTATCGTACCCTCGGTCAGACGGTCTCCAGAGGGGACGCCCAGACTCAGATAAGATAAAGGCGATAAGGAGGTTCCCGAGTGCTATCAATATTGCTCCCGCCGCGTCGCCCACAACTTGGTAGCGGTCTGGTCAAGATAGTGGAGACACTGGGCTCTTTTGCCTAAATCCACGCCGCTATTGCGACACAACTCTGATGAAGGTCACTTCGGTGGAAAATTTCACAAGAGGCGACAGTACAGACTTTTCCGGAAATGCCATCCAGAACGAGAAGAGCTGCGCGACACCTAGCGTCAGATGCTGAACTAGCGATTACATGATCAGATGGCAGAGTCTAGCTTTGATAGGTGACGCTAAATGCTTGGTGTAAGAGAGCTGGTGCGCGACCAAGACTAACGCCCGCCAGATGGCAGAACCCTTGTTCACAAGAGGGCAGCACTACACGGGCCTCTATGCAATTTTGTTCAGAATGCAGTCTTCGCTCCAGCCTCCAAGCATCAAAATGCATAGCATAATACATAACTATGAATCCGTTATTCACGAAGTGTTACTGCTACCGTGGTGTAGTGGTAAGGATCTAGCCAGGATCACGAAGCCTTAACGTCTAACGACAAAGGATTAGCCCCGCCCCATAGAAACAAAATGAGCCCGTGTCCCAATTATCCATAACAGACAGCAGCGCCCAGGGCATATTTTAACAAATTTTTACTGCGTCCCAAAGTTGAGCAGAGGGCACGTGCTACGACTAAGGGCACAGGGCAAGGAACAGAGTAGGGCACTGAGGAGGGCAGAAAGTAGGGCACAGCAGGTTACAGGGCATGGCACAGGACATTTTAGAGGGAAGGGTACAGGTCAGAGCACACAGCAGAGCACAGGTCAGGGAACCGGATAGGGCACTGGGCAGGGACGCAGTGGGTCAAATCAGCAGGGGCTACGTCCCAAGGCGAGGGGGCTCCCTGCGTCCCAGAATGGGACGCAGTAAGTGCCTAAGATATGCCCTGGCAGCGCCTCTATCGGGAGAATCGGTAACTATTGGTTATGCAATGTGGCGCTATCGCATCCCGTCATCACCAGTATTGAGCATCGAATGTCTTTCTTTTTGCGAGCCGTTGCGGGCCCACACTCACAGTGAACATAAATAAACATGGGCTGGCTGATGTAAGATTACTGCTGACAGCCCATCCACCCTCTCGGTCTCAGGGGTCAGGTTAGGCGGGCTATCCCAAAGGACGGTCCCTGCCGCTGCGGCGCACCGTCGGACGGCCTGCACAGTCCTCCCATCCTATTCTCTCGGCCTAATGCTCTGCAATGAGCCTTTCACGCCTAAAAACAAGCGAAAAGGTGGAAGACGGAACAGAAACGAGGCATTCCAGGGTAACCGTTTGAGTGGATTGGGTAATTATTTCATTATTCATGTTCAATAAGTTTTGTTGGTGCGTGTAATTGTCGTAGTGGCTACGAGGCCTGTGTCTCCAGACTCCGGGGCACTGCCGTCCAAACTGGATGATCTCAATCGCTGCGGTTTATGTTCCTACCAGTCCGTGGTCGGCTAGGCTGTAGTTGCCTTCCCCCATCTTTCTATAGGCCGGGCGGTCTGACCTCACATAAGAAAAGCTAATGGCCCAATGGCTTCATGGCTGTTCAGATAGATATACGTTTGCTTTGCAAAAGTAGAGTTCAACATTTGCCGATGCGGTCTCGCTCGATTACCCTTATCTTTTTCTTCAAAACCATCTACATACCTACATTGAAGGTACTCGTATTTCTCTACGTCTATGTTTATCATTCTATGAAATTAAAAAAAAACATTTAAATTATCCACTGTATTAAAACTCTTTTTATAAATGCACGCTGTCTGTTCTAAGGCACCATTTAGGCACTCGACCGCGGGCACGGATTGGTTAACAGGCGAGGTAATCCACCAATGGGGGCAGGAGGTTGTTCTGACGTCACAAAGCCCACGCTGAGCAAGCCTCGTGAACCAGAACATTTGTACGTGGTGACTAGCTGATTCATCTATACACACACAACACGGCGATACACGCATACACTCTGTACAAAATCGCATAAAACGGAGGTAAATCCCCTGCCGTAAAAACCGACGCGACGATTGTCCGTCGGAGGGTTCGAACCCGAGATATCAACACTGCAACACGGTGTACAACAAGTGGGCAACACTGAGGTCGGCTCTGCAACAACTCGGATGAGTATTTCTCGTAGGAATGTGTCTGCACGCGTTTCCACGCTGCGCACGTCTCACTGCCCCTCACCGCCCGGCTAACAACACTAGCGCCACCTGTACACCTACAGCCGCACTTAAAGTCCGCGCGGCGGCGCCACCAGCACCCGATATCTCATTCGTCTCTTCCTCTCTGTCTTCATCAATATACGGCTTCCCGAAGCACAGCTGATTCATATTCCTCTTGATATCGACACAGCCGTCCCTCGCCTGCCTGTCTCCATCACAGACACACGTCTGCAGCTTCGCCGCACGCTCCTGACGCTGCAGAATCGAGATGGAGTTGTTGCACCGTCGCGAGCAGCGCTTGCCGGCAAACATGGCCCTGCAGTTGCGGAAGTAGTAGTCGAGCGCGGTGCCGCAGAGGTTGTCGGCGCCGCAGATCCACTGGGCTACCTCGCAGGAGACGACCGTGCCGTTCTGATTGGCGTACTGCACCTGCGGCCGGCACGGCGCCAGGCGCAGTTTGGAGGTGCGGCAAAACTCGTCCTCGCCGCAGTCACACTGAGGGAGAGAGACAAGAGACAATGTTAGAGACATGACGGTCAACGGCGACGGCAGTCCAACGAGGGGTGACGGAAACATAATGGTGTCAGAGACATCAGGGTGGGGGGGGGGGGAGGTTGGACCGCACATCTGCTTTGGAGACTGGGGATGTTGGTGGAGGGAAATTTGAAAAGGTGAGCTATAAAACCCACTGTGTGAGGTAGCAGATAGGCAGCTCAGTCACGTAGCTAGACAATGGTGACGAGTGTGTTACTGCAGCAGAGAGCGTTCTGTAGGCAATGTATGGAGAGCACAGTGTCCGACTACCTAGTAGGCAGGACGTGCTCACATGCATCACATACATCACGGTAGAAGCACCCATCATATGGAGCATTTGTCGGCTGATTGTTTCGTTTCACCAGCTATTAACACAACAAGACCACCTGTCAATCGCATGATCGCGAAAACAGGTTGATAAATGACCCACCCCTATCTCGCTGCTATGACAAATAGCCGTTCAACATTGCCTGCACCAAACGAGTACATCAGTACGGTCGATATTGTTCTCATCCGCCGCCCATCCATCGCCGGCACGCTACGGCAGATATCGTTCTCGGTCCTCCGGTGACAAATGGCTGCTGCTGCCGGGCGCGGACACGCTAAAGCCAAGTTCATACCGTGGCGGCGGCCGACTGTTGTGACAGACCGGCGTGTCCCCGGTGATAAACGGCAGCGAATTAATCACGCCGGGACGTGTCCACCGGCCGGGCCGGACAGAAACATCAGAGGTGCTCTGATGCGACGATAGCAGAAGCGGTGGCAAAAACCGGACCGGCAGGAGGAGGGGGCAAGGGGGGGGGAGCTCGACAGTTGACCGCGACCAGCGGGGCACGGAGTCTTGGACGACGGCAATATGGTGTATGTGCGGTAATAGACCTCGGGTGGAGGTACGGACAGCTTCCAATTCGAATGACGTCTTTGAGACTTTTCAGACTGTCCAGACCAATTTGGCTGCATCACTTTTCCCAGAAGGAAATCTAGTGGTATGGACTTGTTTTACAGAAAAGCCTCTTGGTGAATTCCCACCATATCTTTGCATTCAGGTTCAGTTGATATCTGAACACAATGTTGCCCTGTTCACTTATCCTCGGATATTCTATCTCCGATTTCCAGATACAATTTGACTTGTCCTCCTCGGCCATGACCCGACGCAATGTATGCATATTCCGACCCTACCCTCGAGGTCGTCTTATCCGTTGTTCTCGCTTCAGCCCTATGTCAACGAACAATCCCGTCCAGCGGGACCAAATAGACACATCACAGAGCCAGAACAGCGAACTAGAGCGTAACAAAAACAAAACACCTTTCAGACCGGGCGGCCGGGCGGCGCCAGTCCCTCATAAAACGCCATGTAGATGCGTATCGCGCCGGTCAAAGTGTCTCTCTCAGAAAGGCGACGGCACTGGTCGCCATTAAGCGTTACCAATTAGTCTACCTCTCAGCACGGGGTCGACGGACGGGCGATAGCCCAGCAGCCGGGAGAGGACAGGGGGAGGGATGGAGAGAGGGGAGGGGAGGGACGGAGAGAAGGGAGGGGAGGGACAGAGGGGAGGGCGGAGAAGGACAGAGGGGAGAGTAGAGGGTTCATTATACCCTGCTCCCCTCCAAAGCAAGGTAACCAGTCCTTACGAAGTGATCGGAGGGAGGGTCAAGACGACCATGAGTCCATTAAACCCCCGTCGGGAGGGACGTGCTGGGGAGGGGGAGAGGGGAGGGGTGTATTCACCTCCAACTGATCGAGCCGTGAAGCGCGTGGAGCCTGTCCGGCGCAGTAATGAACTCGCCAAAAACAGTCCGACGCCCGCCCCGATCGGGCGATAGGACGCCACACTAGCGCCGCCCTGGTGGCAGGATGACAAACTACGGCCGGGGAGTGGGCGGCGGAACGGCCGAGGAAAGGGGATAAAGGCGACAGCCCACGTCACTCCGAGGCGAGAAGAACGGCAGGAATGTTTCGCCTTATTTCCTCGAGATGACCTGGACACGCAAAAACTCGACAGCGGATTAGTTTCACGCGAGACTAGAAGAAAGTGTTGCCACTCCAACACAGCTATTGTAAAAACGGCATGGCGACGCAGCCGCTCAGGAAATGACACAACCAAACGAGCGAGCACTTTGCTTCCATCATACCAGGAGCGCATTCATGTGGAAGCTTCGTAAAATCTCCCCAACAAGGCGTTTTCCATTTCCGTGATAAAACTCCCAGATGGATTCTGCGCGCCGGAGATCGTCCAGACGCCGTCGTCTGGTCTGAGCCTAAGTGGCCGGCCTTAATCCAGGCTCAGAGCGAACATTCCAGGTGGATTTCAGACGACAGAAACGGGCCCAGAGCCGACAAATCGCTAGAAATAGGCGACCGTTGCGGGGAGCGGATAGGACAGTTCCGTATGAGTGGCCCCGTTTGAATTTTTGCATAGAAGCAATTACCAGTAGTTGTCCTTTCCCTGGGAAAACTATTGTCTAATGAGATGACAGGCGGCTGATACAGGCACAAAACATCAGCGAAATAGCCTTCATTCCCCGGACACCCCAGCCAAAGCACTAACATTTATGTGTCAGTGTGGCATGTGTTCGAGTGCCCAGAAGGCGTCAATAGCCAAAAACTGCAAAGCGACAACAATTTATTTTGGAACGATTAGAGAAAATGTTCCGCAATGTGTTCTGACGTCTTACTGAACAGTGCATCGCAAACATAAATTTGCTAGTGCTTGACGATAACTCTGTTCCGATTTCCTACCATCCTGTACTTAGTTATGAACAGGAATGACTTGCCAAGTTATCTTCTCTATGCCTCCACGTTCTTTCTCACCCTTACGTCAACGCAATATTCACTTCACAAGTCCTCACCATCGCCGCATCACGTCATCGTCTGGTATTTTTCTCGGAGACCATTATCACTCTGCTCACAGCGCGACGAGTCATCGCTGCCGCCATGGAGAGGGCATTGGCCTGGCGGTTCATCCAAACATCCTCACAGACAGTCCCGGGGGTAGAGCAGGGCCGCCAGTCCCTCCTCCCACACTCTAACCGGCGTGCCAGTGTCACTGTCTGAGGCATGGCGTCCTCCCATCATACATAACTACAGCAGCGGCAGCAGCAGCAACAGCATCTGCGCTAGCAACAGTATCTGCGATGGAGACTGGAGCCAGAGCCCCAGCCTAGCTACCCAGCCCGAGCCAAAGGCAGGCGAAGACACTGCAAGCGCGGGGGCGGAGGCGGCAGCGGGGGCGGTCCATAAATTTCACCCATCCCACTGAAGCGTCGACCAACATTAACGACCACTAGTGCAAGTTAGCGCCACTCGCCTGCGATACGTTCCGATCAGTTTATGACCGGCGGTAACTTCTCCACTAAGCCGCGCCACGACAGTCGGACAGCACTGCGCCGACAGTTGCGCTCGCAGTTGAACAGAACAGGCCGGACGTACGGGACGGTCGCAGACAGCCGTAAAAGCCGGTGTCTCTATGCGCCAGGCGCGGCTGGACGGCCGTAACTTTGTCTAGGAGCCGCCAGAACAGGGGAGGGAGGGGTGGAAGGGAGAGAGGACTGAGGAGGGGAGAGGAGGACGTGGGGCAGTGCCTCAGAGGGTGTGGTCAGGGCGGGGCCGGCCAGACGTGTTCTCATGTATTAGGATTAGCCGTGAGTGGGGACAATCGTATCAGTCGCACGGATGTTATGAAGACGTTTATGTAGCTGATAGGTTAGTGCTTAGATCTGATGGGATTAACAGCTGTCGGCTGTGTAACAGCAACGTGCGATTGATTTATTCAAGTCGATGGAAAATACACATTAAATTTAAGTGTTTCAGCAAAAGCCCCGTAATTTAAACATGGACACTTTCTGATCATCAAACAGGTCTCATGGTTCATATTATGAATAACTTGTAATCACGTGAACGTTTAAAGCCATGAAACATGTAAACAACTCGAGCATCGACGACCCAACCGACAATTCAATCGTTACAATCCCGTTTTATTCTTACCTCCATCAACGCGTGCCCTGGCAGAGTCGACGTCAGCGCGATCAAACTCTTGGTGCAAAAATCATTGCACGTCTTGGCGTGACCATTCATAATATCCAGGCACCCATCCATGTAGTTATCGAGCGCCTTCCTGCAGCCGTCGCGATAGAGACACTTCATGCGCGCCAGGCCGCACGGCAGCCGCTGGTTCTTCTCGTCGGCGCCGGTAGATGGCAGGAGCGTCGCCGCCAGGGCCAGCAGGGTCGCCAGCGCGCGCGGCGGCGGCGGCTGCATCCTAGGGCAGACGGCTCCTCTCGGTAGACGGGGTCCGGGGCTCGAACGGCGACTCTGTGGGGAGAGAAGGGAGCGAACGATCAGGGGAGAGAAAACAGCGCTTAGGAGACGAAAAATGTCTATTCACAATGCTTTCCTCACGCAGTTAAAAGTAAATTAAGGTTTAATGCAAAATGAATTAGTCCGTTTCATACATAATTAACGCATTTTGTAACAATACGGCAAACGATGTATTGCTACTGAATTCCGAAAATGCCCAGGTGCGAGGTATCAAAGCTGCCAGATATGGTCGATCTTCTCTTCAAACAATGGGCCATACCTCGGCTCCCCGTCGAAGGGTTGTTTATCGTCGACATAAAAATAGGGAATAACGGTACCTGGCTAAAAACATGAAAACTCCTTGAATATATTTCCTAGATAGGTTCAGTACAGTGGAACTGGAAACGATCGATTACAAAACGGACAGGCAGTGTTCAAAAACAGCCTTGTCGGCCCTTTGATCACTCAATTCGAAACACTGCATAAAAGGTCGCCAGTCGCCCGGTCTCCCTGTTGCCTGAAACCTCGCATCCGAAAGACCGTTCGACCAACGTCGGTTTAGCTTCAAAACAGCAGACCTCTTCATCTTATTCCAGCACCTCCCGTCCAGTGGCGTCCAGGCGGGCGGCCTCCCGCCGAGCGCGGCAAATTAAAACATCCCACGAGCCCGGCACCCGTCCCAGAAGGAGAGAGACGCAGCTAGGAGAGAGAAAGAGGGAGGGACGGGACGGCAGCTGGAGACTAGCCCTCGGCTCCACCCCCGGGCCATGAGCCGTCCTTTCCACCTGGTCCCGCCGCCGGGCCCGCAGATTTATGGAGAATTGTCCTCTCCACCTGAATGGCAGAGACCCCGCGCACAGCCGGCCCGAAAATTGATAATAATGACGGCAAATTGTCGGTGCGACGGATGGTCTCCCATGGGAGGAGGATTTCTACCTGCGTCCGGCCCAGGTCCGAGCGGCCGAGTGAGCCGTCAAAGCCGCCGCCGAAACCGCCCGACCCCTCCCCCGGTCCGTCGGCGGCCCGCCCCCGTCCGACGAATGATGGCGCATTGTCCGGCTGTCCGAGGTCTATGGAGAGCCGATCGGGCAGCGCTGAGCCGCGCTCGACACGGTCGGGTGGTGGTCCGACGGAGGTTGGGCTCTGTCGGACACCAGAGGTTCTCGAGAGTTACTCCGTGGTCGGGAGCGAGATGGAACGGTCGGGAAGCAGGCGAGCAACTTTGCCGCGTCGCATTCGCCGGTCGAGTTTCTAACTGCGCCACGTTCGCCGCGTTCCGCGAACGCCGCGCCACAGCACGTCGTGACCGCGCCGCGTTAACACCTCGGAACGGGCGGCCATCGCCACTATGGGCGCGGCGCGACGATAATGGCGCATGGCGGCCGTAAATTGGCGCGCTGCAGCGCCGCTAAACGCCGCTGCAGCGCCGCAAACGGCCGGCTGGCATCAGCGGCAATTACGACGCGATAGAGACGTGAGAACAGCGCCGGCGGCGCCGACAGCGGCGGTGGCGAGGTACCTGACACTGGCCTGAGGGCTCGCCGAGCGAGGGAGGAGGGAGGGCCGGTGATGCTGATTGCTCTGTCGGCGATCTCGGAGCCAGGAAGGCTGCCGGGCTGCCGCCACTGACCGCAAGGTACCGCGCACCGGCCGCAGTGACTCGACAAAAACGCGGACCCACGGTAATGGAAGTGTTCGCTTCTTGTGGCTACGGGAACTTCCGAAAAAAGTTCCCTCGTAGATGGAAGGTAGATGGGAAAATTGACTGCCATTGAGAGGGAAGTTCGTTTGGACGTCCTTGGCAGCTGGATTATCCAAGCTGCCTGCCCGAGTAGCGACCGAGTGCACATTTGAGCGTTCGCTTGAACTGGTGAGCTCACCTCACTCCGGGCTAGATATTTAGGGCGTGCGACCGGCACTTCGCAACTTCCGTCGCGGCACGTACCGGGTCATTTCCAGACCACTAGCTCCACCCACTCCACGCACGCGCGCCACAATTTCGGCGCCAAAACCGACCGCTGCTGCGTGCGTGACGGGTTCATGTCACGTGATTTTATCTTTGAGCAGGCGCACACCTCGCGTGACCTGATCTACGATCACATACACGCCTGGTGTGTGTTTAACCCTGCAAACGTACCAGTTTTGGCCGCCGCTTACTTTACCATCGTGAAATATCTCCGACGTTTCCACACGTCAGTGCTAGTGTAATAATTTAAGCATGTGTTGTTACATGCGACGGATATTTCCAAGCCAGATGAGACGTCAGGTAGTGCAATGCGGTCGGAAACCAAACAAATAACTTAGTGAATCGGGCGAAGTAGATATATTTATGACCGAGCCCTAATGCTCCAGGCTCTGAGTTGGCTTCGCATCTTGGCAGATACGAGTCAGTTGGTCTCAGTCGTTCGCAATCTATCACCTAGCGTTAAAACTGGCCGGCCCTTCTAAAGTTTCCAAAAACCTGAACGCATAAGGAACTTTTGACATCCATGATTCATGAATATTAAGATACCAAGTTAGGTAAAACCCTCATTATTAGCTGTAAAAAGCAGAAGTTATTCAAAAACGTCAAATACGGCTTCAAACCAGTCTCATGCTTCTGGAATTCGTCGAGTATGTTCGTCGATTTGTCAAAGTATTGAAAGCAAATTCATCATCAGTTTTTACTACAGCTCACGCCAGCCAACGTCTGACAAAAATAACCAGTCACGACAAGTTGCCCGATGTTCGCCGTCGAACCGCTTTCCGAGCCTTATCGACAACAAAATGAAGATGCATTCGGACCCGCCCCTGACAGGAGCACATGCCATAGCCGATGCTAATAACATGTGTTGCAGCACCGCCCCATGAATCCCCGTAAGTGGGTGTCGAGATCGTGCTGACTTCCCAATCCGGGCATTGATTAGCCCCGAGAAGCCATTATAACACCCTCTGTGGCCATTTCATTTAACGAGGAGAGAAAATTACCGCTTTCTGGTGTTGCAGTGACGCGGTGCGGCCGCACCACTCGGCCATATAATCGGATAGCCCGTGTTTTTGGCGCCATAAAACTGCTCAGCGTGCAGAGTCGATTTCGGATCGATCGGCGCGAGCAGTCGGCACGATATACCGCCGTCCAGCCGCCGGCGATGGGAGTCACTGGAGGTTAATCACTGTCACGCACGAACTAGACAGGAGGCGGGGTCGAAGCTCCGCCGAGCCAGCCTCTCATCTCCCGACCAACCGGCGCCCGCTGCCAGCAGCCCTCAGCTAGCTACGCTACCCAAGCGCACGAGCAATGCGCGAGGAAAGAGGTTACTTTTTTGGCCGCTAGGTGGCCCAAATAATCCGCGTCCACGTAGCTCAGCACGGCGAGCGGAGCGGCGCCGGCATACATGACATCAAACACGTTCACCCCGTGGGGTGAGTGACACGTGACGTCAGACACGTGTACACGTGCCACGTGACGCGTGTCGACACGACACCGACCACTACCAGTCGCTGTTGAGCGAACGGCGAAGAATTGCCGGCGATAAAAATAGGAGCGTTTCTCCTCGCGAACAAAACCACTGACAAATGCTGGAACACAGTGAAATCTATAGATCCCCGCTGGAGCATCGATGCAATTGCAGACAACCTGAGATTCAGATTCATCATCCTGCCCTCACTCACTTTAAAGTTTAATGTTCGACAGTCAATGCACGATTCGCTCAAATTAATTCCGTGAATGAAAATGATAAAACCTCATTACGACAACTTGCCGTTCCGATGTGCCAATCTAGGCAGGCGTGACAAGCAGTCTCCGCATGCAAAAGCGATGTGAAAGATTTCTATTCTTAGTGTCATTTGTCATGAAGACACTAAGGTCGTCACTTATCATCTTTGCAAACCATGGCAATTACTAAAATGAATGTCATTGGTAGACGGTAAATGGATTTGCAGCCTGTGCATTGGTCATTTACTTTGGATACAAGATAAGAGTCATCCAGAATTTGAGGATCAAAAGCATGCGATAGCATGCTTTTGCATCCGGAAATTCCTATTGGTAGGTCGCTGAAAAAAGTTCGGCTGAACCTGTTTGTCAGTGAGTGAGTGAGTATGTGAGTTTGTCCAAGCTTTTTTGGACCTGGAGTCAAAATGGGTGGACCGATCGGGACGAAAGTGCAGGGACCGTTTGATTCGTCTCCGGCGAGGTAAACTTTTGGTGCTGGCCTCGGTTCGCTCGGTGCTTCGTGGCACATGCTATTCCGCTTCAAAGTTTCGGTGACACGAATTTTTTTGTCAAGGCTACAGGTCAACCCGAGGTCACGGGCAAAGCCATACTGGCGGGACACATCGGTAACACCTTGAACCAGTTTCCAGGGGGGTCACCGTCTGCGAGGGGTGCAGGCTGCACGTGCTGGGGTCGGAAAACCGTTTTGACGTGAGGTCCTCTGGCTCAAAGAAATTTTAAGCTATCAACCTCAAAATCGGTTCAATGGTAGTCCCAGGCAAGGCCTCCAAAATAATGCACATTTCATTGGGCTATGGATCCTCCAATTCTGGCCCAAGGCAACGCACGAGCGCTGCCGGCATCTAGTATTTAGCCGCATGACGTGGTAGAGTAAAAAATCCCATCACTCAGCGTCACACAGGAGCCCAGACAGAGAACTTCTTAGCTGGTTGTTTATAGGAAAATTTATATAGGCGAGAAAAATCAGCTTGTTTACGGGACATGACCGCCAACGACTCAACAGTTACCCAGGAGAAATATGACTATCAAATATATTGAGTCCCATCCTCGTTTTGCGTAAGGTGGGATTGAACATCACACACGGCGGATAAATAATTGTGCCTAAATAGGACAAAGAACAAATAACTTTCAATATTATAGTGAATTATTCATCTAACCTCCAAGCTAGAGTATTAGTCTGCGCTTTAGCGTCGAGATAAATTAAAAAAATACTTAACCCTCGCATGTGTGCGGCGTTTGCCAGCTTAATGTGTAGGGGGGGGGGGGGGTCGGTTGGACCCCCCCTTGCCGTTTGGCCCCTGAT